TTATAGAACTTCTAGAAGAAAGCATATGATAACTACTCCAAAACATTTGTGTAGGCAAGTTTTGTATGGCTAAGACCTCAAAATCACAGGCAACAAAAACAAAAATACACAAATAGGACTATATTAAACTAAAAACCTCCTGCATAGCAAACAAAACAATCGAAAGAGTAAAGAGACAATTTGTTTACTGGGAGAAAATATTTGCAAACTTTTGTTAATCTAACAAGGACTATTATATAGAATATAAAAGAAACTTAAACAACTCAACAGCAAGCAAACAAAAAACGAACAAACTAATTCCATTAAAAAGTGGGCAAGCAATCTGAATAGACCTTTCTCAACAGAAGACATGTAAGCATACAAATGGCCAAGAAGTGTGTAAAAAATGTTCATCATCGCTAGTCATCAGAGCAGTGCAAATCAAAACAACAATGAGATATTGTTTTACCCCTATTAGAATAGCTGTTATAAAAATAAATAACAAATGCTGGCAAGGATGCAGAGAAAGGGAGCTCTTATACACTGTTGGTGGGAATGTAAATTACTGCAACCATTATGGAAAACAGTATGGGGATTTTGCAAAAGACTAAAAATAGAACTATCATGCAATTCAGGAATCCTACTAATGGGTATTTATCCAAAAGAAAGTAAATTAATATACCAAAGGGATATCTGCACCTCCATGTTTATTGTAATACTATTCACATTTGCCAATATATGGAATCAACCTAAGTATTCATCAAGGAATAAATAAATTTAAAAAATGTGGTATATATACACAATGGAATACTGTTCAGTTATTTAAAAAGAATGAAATGCTGTCATTTGCAGCAACAAGGATGGAACTAGAGACCCTTATGTTAAATAAAACAAGCCAAAATATTCTATATTCTTACTCATATGTGGGAGCTAAAAATGGTTATCTCATGGAGTTAGAGTATAGAATGGTAGTTATAAGAAGCTGGGAAAAATGTGGGATGGGGATAGGATGAAGAGAGGTGGGTTAATATATATAAACATATAGTTAGATAGAATGAATCAGTTCTAGCATTTTGGAGCACAGTAGTTTGGCTACAGTTAACAATTTATTGCATATTCAAAAAAGCTAGAAGATTTAAAATGTTCCTACTACAAAGAGATGATAAATGTTCAAGGTGGTGGATAGTCTAAATATCCTGGCTTGATCATTATACATTCTGTGTAGATATTCAAATATCACATGTACCTCATGAATATTTACCATGTATCAATATGAAAATAAATAATAAAAAAACTCACAACTGTAGAGAAAAAAAACACAGGAGTGATTTTTTTGGTTGAGATTGAGAAACAGAAAAACCTCCTCTCCTAGTAGATATTTCACTTTAGAGTAATAAGAGATAAAGGCTGGGTGCGGTGGCTCATGCCTGTAATCCCAGCACTTTGGGAGGCCGAGGTGGGTGGATCACAAGGTCAGGAGTTCAAGGCCAGCCTGGCCAAGGTGGTGAAACCCTGTCTCTACTAAAAATACAAAAATTAGCCTGGCTCAGGTGCCTATAATCCCAGCTACTTGGCAGATTGAGGCAGGAGAATCATTTGAACCCAGAGGCAGGGGTTGCAGTGAGCCAAGATCCCACACTGCACTCTAGCCTGGGCGACAAAGCAAGACTCTGTTCAACAACAACAACAACAAAAGAGATAAAATTATGAAGAAGCATTATACTTCATATAGTATCAATATATTTATGAAGAAAAATACCATGTAAGATGGTTACAAGTATAGATGAAGGTGCAATTGTTACTCCCTGTAGAAAAGAGAGAGGCAGGGACAGTCTAGGAAATAGCAGTTTCATTTTCTAGGACTAGTTTCATTTTCCAGGACTTCATATCTGTGCTACATTCAATGGGAAATAAAAGATATAGTTCCTGTCCTTGAGCTCACTGGAAAAGCTGACTGGGATCAAGTTACTGGAAAAGAGCATAGAAAATGGGATTACCAAGGACTCCTTTCTCCATGTTAATTAAATAGGAGTTGAAGAACAGGAACTTGATGACAAATTTAAATATTTTTTGAATGAAACAGATGATTTCTTTTCTTCTATTATTTCTCATATTGCTGATAATTTTGCATTAAGTTTCCATGAGCCGCTCACAAAATTGATAGTTTCTGTTCTGATTCTTTAATTTGCTCTGTGTTCATTGTATATTGTCTTATTTAAAATCAGACAGGGAAAGTGAGAGTAAGAAAGCCAGAGAGAGAAAATGAAAGGGAGAATGAGCATGAGTGAGTCATGGGATATTTTGAGAGGAAAAACTTTTATGATACTACATTAAAATGAATGTTAAATAAGTTTCAAAAATAGTATAGTTGATGTATGAAAAAGAAATTTTGCTTTTCTAGGATAGTTGTCTTTCTGAATGTTGCAATATTACAAAGTATAAACATCTTTATTACTTTGTTGATTAGATCTAGTTTTTATACCATGTACTGTTTTGGAAAAGAGGATTTTTTTTTTTTTTTAATTATTGGGGACTCTAAGTTCTTAACTCATTACAATCCTTGGCTTCTAATATCTCACTACTTGAAATGTAGACTGTAGACCAGCAGCCTAGCTCTCACCAGATGCTTGTTAGAAATGGAGAGCCTCAAGCCCCACCCAGACCAACTGAAATCAGAATTCTTTTACTAACAAGACCCTCAGGTAACAATTTAAAGTTTGAGAATATTGGGTTAATATCAGAATAATTGTAAATATATGCGAAATTTATATATGTGTTATATGGGTTCATAGTCATATTATTTACATTTCCCCCTTTTCAAGATTTTATGTATTGCTTTGCTAACCCTAAAAAATAGAGGGTCTTAACTAATATACCAATATAACACAGCTATGTTGGTAGTCATATGTTTCATGATCTATTTGACCATTATTTTGGAATATTATCAGAAAATTAGTATTTTTCCCAGCCAAATGCTCCAAATGAAGTGCAGTGATATAAGTTTTAGAGTCTAACTTTTTACTCATTGCACTGTTAACTTATTGCACACTACCTCTGTTCTCTGTATAAAGAATTTTATGAACAAATTTCCAAGTCTTTAAGGACATATTTTTTAGACAAATTACATAGGAATACACTAAAAATAATATTTGAATAAATATATATTTCTTTAGATACTAGAAAAAACTGTAATAAATATTCTGCACATTAAAATAAGTTGTATCAATACAAATAGGCTCTTACTCTTAAATAATATGCAAATCCTTGATATACACAAATGTTTCAATGTCCATTAGGAAATAAATGACTATATTTAACCTATATTAATATTTGGCAGCTTTCCTATCTTAATAAAACCCAATTAAAGAAATTTTAATATGATTAAATGACTGAAAAAACTAAAATATTAAATATTGAGCCATCTGTTTATGAATAATTTACCTATTTAAAGCAGTAATTAAATTAAGGTGTGTAAATTTTCTCCACATTATACTTTTCCAAATTTCTATGTCTTTAATACAATTGCATTATGGGTGATGTTTCCTACTGCTGAAACTTAATGCAAATATTTGGCAATGTTTTGTTCCTTGGATCTAATGTTTTGGCATCAAGAAAAGTCCAGATGTACATTTTGAAAACTGCACATCCAAAAGGTAAGTTTTAATGAGTAATCAATATAAGGTTAAATTTATTAAAATATTTTCCTGTGCTCATAGGATTTACTGTCAAAATCTTATGTTGGGAGAGGGTAGCAGACTAGTAATTGGGTGTGTTAATAAGTTCAAATAAAAAAAGGAAAAAGGGGAATATCTGTGAGCTTAGTGCAACAAAACATACGCAAGTTCTTATAAATATTTATTTTGATTATTTAATATAAAGTAATAATTACATTTATTAGTATTTAATGTAAAATAATTATAACAATGTTATTGAGACATTTTAATATATATTGTTATTAAAATAATAATAGTAAAATATTTTTCCCACATAACAGAAAATAATTAGTCTTAAAAGCCATTGACAGTTAACATTGCACAATAAATAACTGGATTTACTAATAAGAATATCATCAAATTTACTGAACTACCCAAAAGATAATTTCTAACACATTCATGATGGAACAATAATGACAGTGACAATGGGAATTTCTAAAGAAATACATTTTTACTTCCAATTAGATGGTTTTCAATCTTTAGATACTTGTAGAGATGCAAAGAGGTTATATAAATGGGAATCCACTGTATTAAACATTTTAGTCTTTAATACTTTACTGTTTAGAATAACTATCCAGTACCAGCAAATAAGTATTTCTTTTTTAAAGCTGTATTATTTGTTCAAGGTTAGTCTCTGAGAATTTCAGGCAAATGGTTGTTTAGGTAAACTAAAAGATGTTTTTTTTTTTTTTAAATCAAGTAAGTATTTGAAGTTGATATACATGAGAACATGTTTTTCCAATTGTTTTTAATAAACTACCTTAATAGAGAAATGGTGTTTTAGAGCTTAACGCTTCTATTAAAAAAAGTTATAATGCTTACATTTAAGGTCCCTGTGATTTTTTTAAAAAATCCGTATTTAATCAACATGCAAGTATTATTCTAAAAAAATAATTACATATCACCAAAGAATTTATTTACTTAACTGTGATTAGTTCTAATAAGCTTTATTACAGGTAGGATGAGCTACTTGTCCTAGTTTGGGACTTTAGTGGTTTCAAAGCTGAAATTCCCACATCCTGAGAGCTACCTCAATCCTAAGCAAACTGAGATGGTTGGTCACCCTACTCACAGATCATTTAAATATTTGTTTTCATAAACAGTCATAATATAAAATAAAATCAAGAATAAAATTGTTAATATGATTTAGAAAATTTCAAATTTACTGCAAAGGGGGTAAAATCGATTTAATTATGCTGATTATGACTATAATGTTTGTGTAAAGTCTGTTTAAAACAAAACCAAAAACAAGTGGTAACTTAATATTTACAGATTGTAATAATAATCAAAATTTTAAAAAACACTTACTTTTGTAAAAATTCTTCAGAGCCACATATATTTAAAATATGATCCTTGGGAAGTAGCTGGTCATTTGTACAAAAATGCAGAATTTCTGTAATTAGGTCTTTGACAAGATAATTAGCTAGACAAAGAGGAATAATAAAAGTCAAAAAAAGTGTATCATATACTACAAAAAGTTTTTGAGCATAAAATATGACCAACACATTATGAAGGATTGTAACTGTCTAGCTTCATCAAGGGGAATTAAAGTGAGATTCATCTCATTTATTAGTCTGGTTAGATTTAAAGATATTTTGGAAAAATTTGTTTGTGATTTCTTTGATCAGTTCTGTTTTTATGTAATATAGCAAAGCTAGGTATAGTGTGTCTCATGTTAAAGCCCTTGGTAAACTGTAGTTCCGCAGAGAAGATAATCTACTGCAGTTTCCTTTAGGGACTTGGGAAATACACTCAGGGACTTGGATATAGCCAGGCAAAGGTTCCAGGGGGTGTTTTATTCTTTCCATTTTCAACTTAAGTGAGACATATTGCTCCTTCTAAGGGTATCGGCATGATAAAAGGATTCTGAATTATCTGGAATAAATATTTTCAGAGCATTTAAACTAGTTAATATTTATATTTATGCCATGATATTAAGATAATTCTGTAATGATTGAGATGTTCTTATCAATGTTCTGTCACTAGACATGAAAATAATGTAGATTTCCCATTTTTTAGTTGATTTATGTTAACAAGTTATTTCACTTTTTTGACCTAGTTTCTTCATCTGTGAAATAGGCTTTATAATAGCATGATTGATTTCCTTCAAGAATCTGGTGCAAGACTCTAAAAAAAAAAAAAAAAAAAGACAAATGTGATCAGTAAATTTAAAAATGTTATGCAGGTCATATTCACTCTAGGATATAATGCTAGTATTAATATTAATAGCTATATTTTCCTGAGCAATTATTATGCTCTTTACATGTAATTTCTTGATTATTGTACCTATTATATAGGTATTATATCCCAAAGCTCAAAGATGAATTGACTGATTTTCAGGGAAGCTATGCAATTTTGTAGAGACTATACAGTTAGCTTTAAGTGCCACACTTAAACAATATATGTTTACTCCAAAGGCTGTGCCCTTAGTGTCTCGACAGTTGGTTGTTCTCTAGACTCTAAACAAAATCTGTCAGACTCCAAAGTCACTGTTGGGTCTTCTTCCTGTCCCACGTAGTAATTACTCAAGGTTTTATCTTGGACAGCTATATTACAGACACTTAAATGAATATCTACATTCCTTCTCCACTTTTCCTTTGGAACTCAAAATGTAGACATGCTATACAGTGAAGTCATTTGTCTTGTCATGTTCACATACCATAATCTCCTCTTTTAAACTCTTACATGAACATGCTATTTAACAGTGGCCAGCAACTGAAGACAACATGATCCAACCTGCCATCTCTCTGATTGGATCAAGGTGCAGCACCATTGATCTTGGCTGAATGATAAGAATTTTGCTCTTAGGAACCGGGAGTTGGATCCCATAGAGATACTGAACTATTGATAGCTAGCCGGATAGCTTGGCTTCCCACTTGTTTTGGATAAGCAAAGGAAATGAGTGACTAGAGAGCGAGAGAGATATAGGAAGTAATTATATGAAGAAATGAAATAAGATGCACACAGGAATTTAGGGCTGCTTGATTATTGCTGTTTTTCATATATTCTTAATTGTTTGCCAAAATTCTTATACTTAAATTCTATAATAAATCCCTGTATTCTTTAAAAACATTTTTTTCTGCTTAAGCTATCAGGAATTGATTTATTTTCTTTTCAAACCAAGAGGGTCTTAACTAATATGCCAATAGAACCCTGCTATGTCTGTAGTCATCTGCATTAGTGTAGAGCCTTGAATAGAGTAAGAAAGAAGCACAATAATAACAATAATTAATAAATAAAAGAAAATATTTAATGGATTATTATGTGTCAGGAAATAGTTCCCTGCTGATATGTAGAAACTCACTTATTAGCAACCTAAGTGTTTAAAGAACAAATACTATTTTACAAAACAATGGACTGTAATAATAAAATAAGACACTAAATAACTTTACATATATTCTAAAACTTTAGAAAAGTAAAAATCATTAGGCGAATTTGATAACATATAAATTCCTGGGTTTCACCCACAGAGACTGAATCAGTAGGTTTGCTAATTCTGATGCAGGTAAGTTATACTGTGCTATTATATTCCACACCCTGGAAATAGAGATTCTGTGTAACCATGTCTATTCTACCTCACAATTTACTTATGGTTCAATGAAATACTTCTTCCTAATAGATAGAAACAGCCATTTTTACTTAAATACCATCTTTATCTAGAACCTTTTTGAAATTCAGTTGTTTAATGTATTAAAAACTTGCTATACTTGCTATTAATCATTTTATACTAGGAAGATAAAATATTGTGGGGTGAGCTATGTGAAGATAATTCTTTAAGAAAATAGTTCTGCTTTCCTCCCTTAAATATTACCAAAAGGCTTTCTGATGTTTTCTTCTTAATTGACTTCAAAGAAAAGCAGTAGCTAATATTATTTTTTTAATAATTTGAGACTTTGAATTCAAGGCTACTTAGCCAATACCAGCTTTGTGTAGATTTGTCTACTTATTTGGCAGATTGCTTACCATATGGCATAAAATGAAGTGGTTGTGTTGAGCTATCAGTAAAAATACGTATATTAAACTTGGTTTTAGAAAAGAGCTGATACGGAAATGCTGTAGTAGTGCTCCAAATCTTCCCAGAGTTGAAATTAACGTCAGCTGCATGATATCTTTCTCTGATTCTGAAAAATATATGTGAAGACAAATACTTAGGACAAGATCTGCAAGATACAGTTTAAAACATATTGCCTATAATAAAATTATAAGAAACTTCATGTAGCGTTGTGCTGTGAAAGATTTAAAACCTGAAAGCAATTAATAATTGATTTGTGGTGTAGTGCATTTAGCTAGGTAGATTGGTAGAGATTGCACTTATACCAAAAAAGAAAGTGTAAAGGACTGTTCCTTAGGCTTTCCCAGGAGCATCTCATTTGAAATAATTAAGAATTCATTGTCATAACATAAAACGTGAGGATTCACTCTGAATATTATTGCTTGCTTCATTTACATTGTTTTTGATATCAGAGTTCTTCCTTTTGGAGTTCTTTCACGCCTAATTTTGTCAAGCTGCAAGTCACTCATTTCGATTTAGAAATTTTGGTAAATACATTCTCTTGTTCCTGTCAAGTTTGTTAACACTATTCTTGTCTGTACATTTTCTTTAAAATTTTTGGATACTACACAACTACTTGAATTTTACACAAATATTGGAGCCTAAAAGTAATTCTATATTCTGAACAATTACTTACACATAAATGTGTCAAAGAATTGCAAAACAGCTTATCCTTGGAGCCAGAAGCCTTGACTTTGAATCCTGGCAATCTCATTCAGTAATGTTATGGTCAGAGTCAAGTTATTTGACTAGTTTCTTTGCACAGCTGAAGATATTAATATCTACCTCAAAGGTTTACCATGATAATTACAATAGAAAAGACATGTAAAAGATTTACAGATGTAAAGCAATATACACATGTAAAGTAGAATATAACATGAAGATATTTTCAAGTAGATATTTAAAATGCTTCTGAGGGCAATATGAAATTTTGGGGTCTTTTTTTTTAATGTTAACTATGCTGACATCTAAACTTAATGGTTCTCTTCTTAAACTGCGGAAACTGCAGTTACTTTTCCACCAACCTAATAGCTATTTGTTTAACACTAAAACTTTATTCCATGGAAACATCTCCTCCATGAGAAGCCTGGCAAATGGGTAATTAAAAACACATTCACCCAATGGCCTGGCATGCATCTGTATCCACTTGCGTTCTGGCTCCCATCTCCTTAGTTTCTGATTCAGTAGATCTGTGGAGGGTACCCCAACCTGGCCTTACTAACAGTTTCCCAAGTAAGCTGCTGGTGTTGCTGCTCTGGAACTGCAGTTTGAGAACCACTGCTCAGAATAAGGACATGGGCTACTCCTCATTGTTATACTCTAACACAAAGGTCTAGAGTCCGGTTAGGGACAGAGGAGCTTTATGAATTAGCATTTACCATGTAATAAGACACTTCTCAATGCATCCATGATTTCACCTTCTACCGTTTTAATAAATTAAAATACAAATTCATGATTCATTTTCTCCTAAACTTTTGCTGAGCATCTACCATAAGCCAGAAACTGCTGTCATATGCTATGATGTTATCATATTTGTTACAAGAATATGGCATATTTTTGAAAGATGTGGCTTTAAAGTATGTTACAATGAGTAATCAAAGTTTTGGAGAACCTCTTTTGAAACAGCTCTCAAATTCTATTTGATCTTTTGAATTAAGAGTGCTTACCACATAGTAGATCCTCAAACATACTTACTGTTTTGTAAATATCCTGTTGTATACAAAATAATTATGCATGCATGCATTTAGTCATTTTGTGAATATTTGCCAACAAAAAAAATTGTTGAAAACAAGGAAAGAGTGTGTGAATATAACTTATGACTTCTTTTCACTATGCTAACGTTATTGTTTGGTGTATGTTTTAACTTTCATGACTATTATAAAATAAACTATTTAGAAAAATTATATTAAAGAACTTGGAAAATGTACTATAAGCTACTGGAAAATCATCACATAAAGTATTTTGATGTCACTACTGCATCCACAAGAATATTTTACGTAAGAATATGAAATTGTGTTTTGAAAAAAAAGGTTGCTGGAGGAGCTAATAATGTGTTCTGTGAGTAAAGTTATACAGAAGAGTGATATCTTAAAGTATTAAGAAAGTTATTTTAGGTCTAAAAATTAACCATATTTTAGACTTAAAGTAGCAAGTTTCTAGCTTCGCTTATCATTTTTTTTTATAGTGAGTAGCTTATTCCTGAAAGAGAAAATATTGACAACATTAAAGATCCTAATTTAGGAATCCTAAGTACTATTTACATTTTTTTGCCATAAACTAGAGCAGGAAACTAATTAAAGATTGAACATTTTCATGAACTTGAAGTGATTTGTTGTGTATCTTTGTATGTAAGCCTTTCAATCCTTCTTATGGTTATAGGTTTTATGAGGCAGGGACCTTGCTTGTTTGTTTGTTTATTTTAAATTTGAATATCTCTCATGCATGAGCTAGTTATAGACAATGAAATAGACTTTAATGATTAAATAAATGATTCAAATATTTAATTTCAAATAATCTTTTGGTAGAAAGTGAAAGCTTATAAAAATGTATAGTTATTATATTTCAAACAACAGTCAAAACTGAATTAAAACTAAGGAATTAAAATATGAACGCATGAGTTTTTATTTTTTTCATTTTTTTATTTTTTGAGATGCAGCTCACCACACTTGGCCTTTTTTTCTTCTTTTTTGGAACAGGGTCTCATTCTGTTGCCCTGGCTGGAGTGCAGTGGTGTGAATTTAGCTCATTGCAAGCTCCACATCCCAAGTTCAAGCAGTTCTGCCTCAGCCTCCCAAGTATCTGGGGTTACAGGTGCACGCCACCACACCTGGTATATATATATACACACATATATATGTGTGTGTGTATATATATATATATATATATACATACACACATATATATGTGTGTATATATATACATATATATATGTGTGTGTGTGTGTGTGTGTATGTGTGTGTGTGTGTGTGTGTATATTTATAAAAGTGGAGAGACCTTCCCTCTACTAAAAATGCTATATATATATATTTAGATTAGCAAAATATCAGTGCTTTTATTTTGGAATATCCACTAGTGATCAAATTCATTTTTCAATGAATTAACACACATGCATTTATTTAATATTTAGCCAATCCACTCAAGATAAGAGTGAACTATAATAAGTCTAAATAGACTATCCCAGGTAGGGAGAATAAATATGTGTTAATTTGGGGCTTAGCAAGAGGAGTTAGTCACTTATGTCATTAAAGAAAACTAATAATTCACTTCAAACCAAACCACCAACAGACAACAAGTACAGGTTTGAATTTATAAAAACATTTAACTTTAACCAGCTTTTCAAGAGAAAAGCATCTATTTGACTGTCAACAACAAAAACATTAACGGAACTTGATTAATGAACTAATTTGTGAAAAATTTCTATTTTTTAGTGTGTTCTGAAATTACATGACTTTTATATACAAAATTAATCAGTTCAGGGATGTCAAAATACAAAAATTTATTTAGGCACAAAAATTTCAAAGTTTAATGAAATAGCAATACTCACTTTTTTACTTTGTTGCAGAAAGAGGCCAGACTCATATTACTGCCTTGAGGTACTTCCACTAGCTGAATGGAACAACCTATTGACTTAAAATAAAAACTACTAAATTAATCTAAGTTGGTGAAGAGAAAATATTAATATCATTCTACAATTTTATCCTGCTTTGAAGTTTAATTCATGTTTCATTTTAAATTTTTTTAGATTTTTAAAAATTGAAGTAATATTTACACATAGAAAAAAATGTGTAGATCTTAAGCATATAATTTGAGTTTTGTGGAAGGCATAAAACTATGCTATCAATACCCCAATGACAATATAGAATATTTCTTTCATTTTAGAAAACGTCACCATTTATTAAATCTGCATATTTATTTGATAACTACTGCTATTCAGATTTCTATCAACACAAACAAGGTATATGTGTTCTTTTGTTTCTGGCTTCTTTCACATAATGATACACATATTTTAAAATTATTCCTGCTATCACACATATCAATAGCTTGTCACTGTTATTGCTGACTAGCAGTATTCCACTGTGTAACTGTTCCACAATTTGTTTAGTCATCTTCCTGTTAATGAACATCTGGATTGTTTTTAGCTTTTTGTTATTTTAAATAAAACCATTAATGCTCACATACAAGTAATTATGTGAATGTATGCTTCATTTATTGGGAATATATGCATGAATAGCTTGGTAATGCATGCATGAAAGGCTTGGGAATAAACAAATGAATAGCTTGGTCAGAGAGTGCATGTAGGATTAAATAAACCATTTTTGCCTTATGCATTTTAAAACTCTGCTATTAGGTACATACATATTTCAATTTATTATCTCTTCCTGATTGACCATTTTAGCATTACAAATGACCCCTTGTTTCTCTAATAGTACTCAGCCGTGGAATATACTTTTTCTGATATTAATAATCATATTTTTGTTCTGGTTGAATGTTAAATCTTTTTGTTTCTTTTACTTTCAACCTATCTCTGCCTTTGTTTCCTAATATTGTCCCTTATAGACAGTAACTGAGTCATTTCTTTTTAATCTCATTTGTCAATTTCTGCCTTTTGTTTGGAATGTTTATTTTATTTACATTTAGTATATTTATGGAAATTGTTAGATTTAAGACAGTCTTATTTATATTTGTTTCTATTTATCTTTTCTGTTTTATTCTGTTCTGTTATTTCTCCTGACATTTTAATTTAATTTTATTCCTCTGCTGTATTTTTAGATTTTATTCTTTGTAGTTTTTAAAATATATAATTCATGGTACTAGCTCTAGGAATTACAATGTACATCCTTAATATATCTCAGTTTACTTACTATTGTACCATTGTATTTAACATGTAAGAATTTACAATAGCAAAATAACATTTAACCCCCTTCCACCCACTGTCATTATTGTCAAATAGGTTTTACCTGCATACACAATAAATCCTACAATAACATGCTATTATATCCCTTTAGTTCATTGTCTTTCAAAAAATTTAAGGTAGTCATTTGTATTATTTAACATATTTACTATTTCTATCATTCTTCACCCTTTCCTAGATTCCATCTGGTGTCCTTTTCTTTGTACCTGAAGTAGTTAATTTGGCATTTCTCATGTGTCTCCTAGCTGACTAATTTCTTTCAACATTTGCTCATAGTAATGTACTTATTTTGTTTTTGGTTTTGAAACTTATACTCAATGGATATAGAAGTATGTTTCATTTTCTTTTAAAGAATTTTAAAAAGTCATTCTATTGTCTCTGGCTTCCATTGTTTCCAGTGAGAAGTTTGCTTTCATTCAGATTCTTGTTCCACTGTGTGAAATCTTTTCTTCCCTTTTTGCCCCCTTCCATAATTTTCTCTTTTGGTTTTTAGATGTTTCAGTACAAAATGACTACATGTAGCTGACTTCATATTTATTCCGCTTGGGTTGTGGTGAGCTTCTTAGACCTATAATTTGATATTTTCTGTCAAATTTGAGTAATTTCTTGACCATTATTTATTCAAATTAATTTTGCTCTCTATTTTTCTTTCCTTCTATTAGCATTCCAATTGTCCACATATTATGTTTCTTGTCTCATAAGTCTCTGAATCCCTGCTCATTTTTATATGATCCCTGTGTTTTCTCTACTTCAATTTGGATAACTTCTGTTTTGCTTTCAAATTATTATTTTTCTTCTATTCTTTCCTATCTGTGGTTCAGCACAAAGAGTAACATTTTATTGCAAAATTTTGTTTTCAGCACTGGACTTGGTCTTTGTTTTTGATTGTTTGTTTTCTTGTTGTTTCTATTTTCCTGCTGAGATCATCATTGAGCTAGCCATTATAAACATCTTTATCTACTTGAACATACTTTCAATAACCAACTTAAAGTCCCCGTGTTAATTCCAACATCTGGATTATCTCAGAGGCTCTTTTGACTGATAGGGTTATTTTCTTGAGCCTGAGACAAAATTCCCTGCTTCTTTCTATAACTATGTATTTTTATTTTTATGTTGAATATTGTAGATGGCACTTTATAAATTATAATTAATTTTTTTTCCTTTGTCAGGCAGTTAAAATCCTTCCTGTCTTATTTGCTTTATTATTATTCTTTTTGTTTGTTAGACCACATCTATTTTGGTTGATGTAGCATTCATTTTAGAGCACAAGTTTTACTCTTAAGACATGGCTTTGTAGCTTCATTTGAATGCTTGAAGTACTTAGCTCAGTCTCTTCTCTAATTTGGCCCAAATTTCTGCATTGTAACTTCAATTCTGTGTAATTAACACAATCCCATCCAATTCTCAGTCAAAAGCTGACATTATCTACTAAGCCGTGCAAGCACATCCCAATACTTGGCCAAGCAGTAAGTCCTCACTAGAGTTCTGACCCGTACCCACTTCAAAGCTACCTCTTCTTTAGCACTCTGCTAAATCATAGCTGCTCTGCAACTTGGAACTGCAAGCTCTGCCTTCTCAGTCAGTGATGCTGCTTCTCAAATTGGGCTCTACCAGCCTGCATAGCAGCATGAAATTGCCCTCAAGCACAGGCCGAGATGATCACAGGGCCCACTTTTCTCAAGGATTTATGTTCTACACTGCCTATTCAACAGCTGCAATCAGCTACTTCATTTATTTCACCTACCTATATATTCGTTTTTAGGAGTAGAGAAAGTTTAGTAATTATTACACTGTTGTGATCAGAACTAGACAGCCCTAAGATTTCCTGAATTTTAATTTAGATCATTTGAGGTGGTACCTCATTTGCAAGGGAATTTGAATGAAGTAGAATTAGATGTTTCTTTTCCTATGCACTTACTCCATCTGTTATTTTACAATGTTGCCATTATTTGTTTGCAAGTTAATATGAGCAGTATCTATTCCTGAATTCAGGTACCATATTTTCTTCTTTGCATTCATTCTGGATAGCATATCGCAATATACTTTAAGGCTTTGATAAATAGTTGTTGAATAAATAAAGAACCTGTCTGCCTCACACTACAACTACAATAATGTTGCTTCTGCAATAATATTTACTTCTAATTTTACTTGTATCTAGACTCAAGCAGAGAAGTAAGTAGAGAAATCTTCAAGTACAGAAAAAAACTCTAGTTACTACTAAAATGATTGGAAAGCTAGTAATAAAAGCATTAAGATGAGTCACACAATGAATACTTAATTTCCTGCCCTTGGAATGATCTCAATAGTAGTTGCCTGCCAATAGTGTAAATTAAGATCCTCTGGGTAGAGGGGCATTTTTTCTACCAATAATGATATAAAGTTCCAAATCATTACAATGTGACTCAATATATCAATGTAATGAAAGATATGTGTGTTTGTGTATGTGCATTAAAAAAATAGAAAATATTATCCATGAAACCTTCAACTCTGCTATTTTTATCAATGAAATGTAAGTATCATAACTAAAACTAAATAAAATTTTATAATAGTTTTGATGAACCTGGAACTGGAACTTTACAGATGATATTTTTAAAAATGTATTTCCCTTTTTCCTCAGAAAAAAATCATTCATACAAAAACACAATTTTTATGAAAATAATTTTTTTTCAAAAGTAATATGAATAGATTTCTCTTTTTATGGTCAGTTACCTTCATTACCAAATTAACCCAATATATTATTGAATGAGTTCTTCAGATTCATATGTTTAGACTGGCATGTATTATACATACCTCTATGTTCTCCTGCCATGTACTTTCCCACATCCTGGCTTGAAGAGAGCCTTTCAAAAGCATCAAAGAGGGTTCTACAGTGTTCATATGTCCACTTCTTTTGTTATCTTCTTTCTGCATGAAGTCAGTTAAGAAGGATGAATTTGTAGGAGAAATGCTACTTTCAAATCCTATATGGCAGTTATGATTTTCATTTCTTAATTCTTTCTGTAGATTAATTTTATCCAGACTTGTGAATGATGGAGCTAAAACATTGAATCTGAAATCATCAGCACCATGATGTTTTCCTATGGGGTTTCCCCAGGGGCATTCTTTATTCATATTTTGGGAGTTTGGTAACACAGAAGGACTAAAACCAATTACTGGTGCTTTTCTAAGTTGATGCCAGGAGAGTTCAGGGCTTTTAGAAGTGAATTCATTCAAAGATATTTGGTGTGTTTTGTTTAATGAATGCCCTTTTGTGTCCCATTCTGGTGCACTGGGCACAGAAAAGGTGTTCTCATCAATTTCATTCTTGTAGCGTGGAATTTTGTCACTGATCTCATCTACTGTCTGATCAAAACCCAGACTGACTTGGCCAGAAGAATGGGGTTGATTTACAGAGAGAAATTCTTGGTGTTCATACTGCTTTTCATGTGATTCATTGGGATTTGGATCTGTTTGCCAAGAATATGCCATTTTTTATTTTATGTAACTGAGAGGGTTGACTCTGCTCCAAATATCTCCTTGATAATACAAAAGAAGACAGAAATTATCCTAGAAAGAGGATAAAATGAAAGAAAAATATTTAATTTGAAAGAAAAGAGTTTATAAGACAGATATATGATAAATAACTACAAACAAGTGTTTTGTGGACTTTTCTTAGCAAGTGAAATAATTCCTTAAGTACTATAAAGCTCTATCAGGGCTTACAACATTATGAATCTGAAAGGAAAATATTGACTTTGGATAGATTGACAAAACTCCTTGATAGGAAAATAAGTCTACCTTAATTACAATGAAAGTTTCATGAATCTATTCAAAGTCAATATTCTCCTTTTCCTACAGAATATCCACTTATTATTTGAGTACAGAGGGAAATCTATAAGCATGTTGGCATGCTAAAGTCTCTTTCTTATTAGCTAAACAGTCTCTTCTTGACCAGCAATTACCCCATTCATAGACATAGTTTTAAGTCTTTTCTACCCACCACAATTCATCTTAAAATGATTAGCTAGATCCTTTCCTTTACCCCCCAAAACTCTAAATAATTACAAAGCCTTTTATACTTCTCTAAAATTACTAACATTAAATTCATCAATGGACTTAGTGTTAGTAAATTTAAATGACACTTTTTAGTACTTTTTTAATTTATCTCTTCACAGGATTTGATACTGTTCACCATACTCATAATTTCTTGCTTTCTTACTTTGGCTCTCTATGACTCTGAGTCTTTCTGTGTTTGCTCTTTCTCAAACACTGGGTTTTTTTTTTTTTGTTTGTTTATTATGCATTTTCCATCTCATCCTTGTCAGAGCTTATTTTCTTCCCTATTAGTCTTTTAATGTAAATTATTTCATGTCTCCATTTTTCAATGACTTTAACCTTGGCCACTCTTCTTATTACTTAATCAATATCTCCATTTGGATTTTTTTTTAAGTCTCCAAGTGAAAGTCCAAAACTAATCGCAATTCGCCCAAGAACCTGCTCTTATTTTAATGTTCTATAGGGCAAAAAGACCCAATTATTTACTCAGTTGCTCAAACCAGAAACCAGAGTTTCATCTTTGAATCCTTCCTCAACTTCGTTCTTCTATATCCAGTAATCCACCAGTCCTTGTAGGATCTACCATATAAATATGTCTTAAATATATCTTTCCCTCCCTGTCTATCACTGCCATAGTCCTTGTTTAAAGCTTTCATATTCTCACTTGAAACGTTGTATTGCCCCTGGGACTGCTTTTATATTTTCTGCAATCCATTCTTGTGCCCTATACAGTAATCCAATGGCATATGTTTTTTATTTAAGACACTAACCAGACATCTTCACTGGTTACAGTTTTTCAGTGGTTTCCTACCATCTCAGGATAACATTCGTAATTCCTCAGTTGACTTGGAAGTTCCTTAATGACACTTGACACCAACCACTCTCTAGTTGCACCTCACACTACTCAGTTTAATTCTCTTCTTTCCATCATCCTGGCTTTCTGGCTCCTCAAAAGGACTTGATTTTTGATCACTGACATTTGCCCAGGGTGTTATCCTGGAAACTCATCCTACTTCTTGCTTTGCAAATTCTTTTTCATTATTCAGGTTTTAATTAAAATATTACTCCTTCAAAGAAAACTTCTGAGCCCCCAGGGAAGGTAAAACTACTTATTTTCTACAGTTTACACTTCTCCTTGTGACTAATAATTACACTTGTAATTACATATGTACTATTTCATTTTCCCATTAGATCATCAGATCATATTTGTTATTCATTTTTCTTACTGATAACTCAGTGCCTAGTCCACTGTTTCACTCAGAGTAGATGCTCATTTGTTGACCATATTATTTGATAAATTTTATAAAACCACAGTTAAGTTAGGAGAAAAATGAAATTGTGAAGTATTTGCTTCACTTTGATGGATTTATTAATTCTCTTAACAGTTATGTGTGTACATGTGTTAAAGACAAAAACAATATTTTTTCTTTTTTTTAATTCTGACAAAAACAATTTTTAAAGGCTAATTCTGGTAATGAGTATAAAATAATTCTGTATCCATCTTTTTTGCAATGCAATTCGATTTTTATTACATTGGCAATTAAATTTTTTTGAAAATCATAATCACCTGAGGAATAAATGAATATGATTTATTATACTTTACATATTCAGAAAAGTAATTAAACTAACTGATAAATTTGGGAAATATTTTCAAGAGATGTATGTAAATGGGGTATAGGATAATGAATCTCAAAAATGAATCTCAAAATATTATTTAAAGCTATTATAGGGGGTTTCCAAGATGGCCAAATAGAGGCAGCTCTGCAATGCAGTTCCCAACGAGAGAGATGCAGAAGCCGAGTAGTCTCCACAGTTCCAAACAAGGTACCAGGTTCATTTCATAGTATGGTTGGCCAGTGGGTATAAAACAAAGAGGACAAGTTGAGGCAGTTGCATTGCTCCACCCAGGAGGTGCATGCAACTGACTGGAGGAATGGGGACTCTCCCTCTCTGGGACTTCAGTTCGGATACTGTACTTCACCCAAGCCCTCCACAACCCACAGAACAGGAGATCTTTGCTGGGCTGAAAAGCCACCACGAACTGCCTGAACAGGGCTCAGTGCCAGAGTTGTTGGGACAGATCTAGCTGGAAGCACTGGCTGACACTGCGAAAGCCTGCAGGACAGAGCTACCTACCCAATAGAAAGAAGGGGATCTGAAAGCAAGGAATCAGGCAATATGGCTGGGAGGATACCTCCCCTACAAAGCCCAGCAGTCTGAAGCCCTTTCCCTTGAGAGTATTGCAGCCAGTACATCAGTAAGAGAGTGACCAGGAATGATCAAGCTTGGCAAGGGGAAGAGCAGTTCCATTGCAGAGGTGGGCCTAATCTTCCTGGGTAAACAAAAGACACAGTAAATCTATGCAGCATCTCCACTGAATTGGTGGCAGCCTAGCAGCACCTCTGCAGGCAGACAAAGGAAAGGCCACCTCCCCAAGCAGCTACCTGAAATCAAAGCTAGATAAATCCAAGAAGATGGGAAGAAACCACCTCAAAATGGATGAAACCATCAACCAGAACACCTCACCCCCACCGAGGGAACACAACTCCTCACCAGCAAGGGAACAAAACAGGATGGAGAACAAATTTGATGAATTGACAGAACAGGCTTCAGAAGTTGGGTAGTAAGAAACTTCTCTGAGCTAAAGGAACATGTTCTAACCCAATGCAAAGAAACTGAAAACCTTGAAAAAAGTTTAGATGAAATGCTAACTAGAATAACAAGCGTAGATTGCTTAGGGAGATTTTGTCACTACCAGACCTACCCTACAAGAGCTCCTGAGGGAAGCACTAAACACAGAAAGGAAAAACCAGTACCAGCCACTGCAAAAAATAACCAAATGGTAAAGACCATTGATGTAATGAAGAAGCTGTGCCAACCAAAGGGCAAAACATCCAATCAGTAACAAAATGGCAGGATCAAATTCACATATAACAATATTAACGTTAAATGTAAATGGACTAACAACACCCCTATCAAAGGACGCAGAGTGGCAAACTGGAGAAAAATCAAGAACCATCAGTACTGTATTCAGGAGACCCAACTCACATGCAAAGATACACATAGACTCAAAATTAAGGGGTGGAAAAAGATTTGCCAAGGAAATGGAGAGCAAAAAANAAAAAACTTGGTTTGGAATTATAAAAGGTGGTTTCATACATACTCAGTCAAGGACAGAATGGGGGAAATGGAGAGCAAAAAAAAAAAAAAAGAAAAAAGAAAAAAAGCAAGGGTTGCAATCCTAGTCTCTGGTAAAACAGACTTTAAACCAACAAAGATCAAAGAGGCAATGAAGGGCATTTACATAATGGTGAAAGGATCAATACAACAAGAGCTGACTATCCTAAATATATACACACCTAATACAGAAGCACCCAGTTACATAAAGCAAGTTCTTAATGACATACAAAGAGACTTAGACTCCCACACAATAATAGTGGGAGACTTTAACACCCCACTGTCAATATTAGACAGATTGTTGAGACAGAGAATCAACAAGGATATACAGGACTTGAATGCAGATCTGGACCAAGCGAACCTAATAGACATCTACAGAACTCTGCACCCCAAAGCCACAGAATATTCTTCTCAGCACTTACTCTAAAATAGAATACATAATTGGAAGTAAATCACTTGTCAGCAAATGCAAAAGAATGAAAATCATAACAAACAGTCTCTTAGACCACAGTGCAATCAAATTAGAACTCAGGATTAAGAAACTAACTCAAAACCACACAACTTCATGGAAATTGAACAATGGGCTTCTGAATATCAACTGGATAAACAATGAAATAAAGGCAGAAATAAAGATGTTCTTTGAAACCAATGAGAATGAAGACACAATGTACCAGAATCTCTGGCACACATTTAAAGCCATGTCTAGAGAAAAATTTATAGCAATAAATGCCCACATGAGAAAGAAGGAAAGATCTAAAATCGACACCCTATCATCAAAATTGAAAGAGCTGGAGGAGCAAGATCAAAAACACTCAAACGCTAGCAGAAGACAAGAAATAACTAAGATCAGAGCAGAACTGAAGGAGATAGAGACACACACAAAAAAAAAAACCTTCAAAAAATCAATAAATCCAGGAGCCGGTTTTTTTGTAAAGATCAACAAAATAGACGAGTAGCCAGAGTAATAAAAAAGAAAAGAGAGAAGAATCAAATAGATGCAATAAAAAAACGATAAAGGGAATATCGCAACCAATTCCACAGAAATGCAAACTACCATCAGAGATTACTACAGACAACTCTGTGTACATAAACCCATAAACCTGGAATAAATGGATATATTCCTGGACACTTGCATTCTCCCAAGACTAAACAAGGAAGAAGTTGAAACCCTGAATAGACCAATAACAAGAACTGAAGTTGAGGCAGCAATTAATAGCCTACCAACCAAAAAAAGGCCAGGTCCAGATGGGTTTATAGCCAAATTCTACCAGATGTATAAAGAGGAGCTGGTACCATTCCTTCTGAAACTATTCCAAACAATACAAAAAGAGGGA